AATATAATTTAATACAATAACAAATACAAAAAAAAGAAAAGATAAACAAAAAACGAAAAACCTATAATTAATAAACACAAATAATGTAACGATAACGACACAAACACAAGAGCAATGTGCGTTCATGAAATTAAAAAAAAAATGAAAATAAAGGATAATTACTGTACTTATTATTATTATGATTAACAAGTGTATGTGTATAAGTAAAAATTATTTATTTAAATAATGTGAAACTTAATAAAAAAATTAAAACTAAAATAAAAGTAAAAAAAAAAAAAAAAAAAAATATATATTAGATGTAACGACAAGAACATCGAGTGAAGTTGTCTTATCTTTATGCTAAAAGTGGAAAACATATGAGAAACAGAGAACACTTTGGCAGATCATTCTCAGATTTCTCTTCAAGTAAGTTGAAAATTTCATTTCATCTAATATGACAAAAGTACAAAAAGAAAAAACACAAAAATTGATTTCTAAAAACTGTACACATATATATACACATTGAGGATTAATCTTATCCGAACCGTAAAATTTCACATTTGCCGGGCCCTGAAGAACTTACACACTAACAGTCAGTAAGTAAACTCTGAAACGTATCTTTGGCCGCAGTTCTCGAGGGTCTTTGCTAGGAATTTTTATTTACTGGAACCGATTGACAATATCCATCAACTAACTGCAGGCACAGGCAGTGCAGATTCTTTGCCAACTTCTCGGGAACATTCAGTCCTCCATTGTCGATTCAATCACATTTATGCAGTAATTCATGTTACTTATTAGATTACGTTTGTACTTTAATTGCTACACGCGACATCACTTGCAGTACAAGGATATATAATAAGTTTGTTCAGTTGTATAGAATAGCCGGAAGCAATTGAAGTAAGCCCACCTTCTGTGTCCGCCTGAACCGGTCTGTTCGTCTCGTATTTCTGTGTCCAGTGGGCGGATCATAATATTAGGGATATGTTGTTTTATTGTACAACGTGCATGTGTAATAAATTTACCCTGTTCGTGCCTGTTGGCCACACAAAATAGAAATGGAAAAGGAAAAACCATTTTACGTCCTCTAAATTTTGATGCAATCAAGCCCTCCATATTATAGCCGAAAGTGAGGGGTTTCGATTGAAATGCCTCTATTCCATCGTACTCTTGTTAGCCCTTATTATCTGCCTTAAACTAAATTAACCTAGCAGGCTATCCGCTGCCGAAAGATGAAAATCTAACCTCAAAATATAGTGCGATTTTAGGTAATCGCACTACTACATAATATATTTCGTTGAAGGGAATGCAGTTTAACCCTCCCCTCATTTCTTCATAGTTAAAATGAAAAATATTTCATTAGATAAATTCTAGATAACAAATTTTGTCACATATATTGCCGTTTAATTTTTTTAAACTACGCTCTCTTGCTGAAACATTACGTCATTCGCTTCTTCAGTTTTAGCTTTTCATACCCTACACCGGTTGTGGTACAGGGTATATTAAGTTAGCAAGGAGCAAGTTATACGCAGAAGAGCTTAAGATAGCCCCACCTTTCGTTATACAGAACGATTCAGAACAATTTTCTGAATCAACCTAAGCCTGTCTGTCCGCGTGGTGTCTGTCCATGTATTTTTGAGTTCAAGTTACAGATCGGAATTTTTCAGATATTTTGTTAAAACTTAGTGCACTGACGTGCTTTGACCCAAGAACGAAAGCTATTGAAAATGGTTTGAATCGATTCATTTTCTCGACCACTCGCAACATAAAGCTCCATTCTGAAAGATCGTTATGTGGAAACAATTGTAATTTACAAAATTTCTCGATAAAAGTGGCTAAGTAATAGTATTTCGGCGTTCTAAATTGGTGTGAAAACCCTGGACTGGCTGGGGCAATTTTTTAACTCCTCCCATACTACTCATCCTACCGAAATTAAATCTTTATATGTTAAAAAGGTCGAGTTTTCAAACGCCCATGGTGAGAATTGGCTCATAATAATAAATTGACAAAGAACTCAACCTTACCAAGTTTGGATCACATAGGTTATTTTTTTGGATACCACCGCATATAAGAATTCTCATGAAAGCTAAACCCTTATATGCGAAGAAGCTCTAATTTTTAATGTTTTTGTGATGAAACTTTGTTCATGGTAATAATTAAATAAAAAAGCTAAGTGGAGTTAATTGGAACCACATGGGAACATTTCTTCGCCTCACTCCATATAAATAACATTTTTAATATTTTAAAATGAAAATTAATTCATATTGGTGTTTGAGCATTGATTACTATCAAAATCAGTGAACAACTATATTAAGCGAAGAGGTAGTGATCAGCGTTGTCCAAGCATTGTTTTTTGTAAGTTCTATTAGGAAAACAAGCCACATGTTCTTTAAGAATTATTCAGTTCTTCAAATTTGTTGCACAACCGTGCTCTGAACTGATCACAGTGATGTCCACGTTCTAACACCGGCACATCATCTTTTCACCCTATGTGTCTTTCTGCGTTTGGTTCTAGCTTGAAATGTTTAATTGTTCACTTACGGGAATTACTTATAATCAATATGGATTGTAATGACGGTTTCCTATAATTTGTAAACATTATTCAAATTTCATAACAGACACATTGAAAGTCAAAATGATTTCACTACACAATTTCGAAAAACCCAAAAGGAGATGAAAAGTTAATTGCGAAAATTCTCTTTAGTTAGTTTCACGAATCTTAAAGCCAACACAGGTTTGGCCTTCTTGACTTCTAAATTAGCTTTCTATTGGTTCTAAGCAAACAGTCTAAATCATTTAATTCTTAATTGAAGCATAGCTCATAATAGACCTTCAGACGGAGAAAGTAAAATAGTGAGAAAACAAAGTGAAAAAATGAGAATTCTTGCTTTCCAGTTTATTCTTCTAAACTACAACCGGTCACTAATTCCCGGGGTTAAGTTGAAAAAAAAATTTATTTTTTTGCAAAGTTCGACTTTATTCATCAACAAATCTTGCGTCAAGGGCGACATCGTTTCTTTAACATTTTCATTCCCTTTTATATAGAACGATCTGAACGACAAGAACTTCAAAATGCGCTTTAGTTTCCGTAATGATCTCATCATTTAGTCGAAATGTTTTTTACTAAAATATTCTTCCAGGAATTGCAAACATTTGATAATTGCTAGGCGTCACAGTTGAAATATAAGACCAATGCAACAGCAATTTGGATTACAATGCACTCAATAGGGACAACGTTCTGAATAAGTTAACGCATTGATGTTTATGCTCTATGGGGAATAAAAGTTTTATGTATTTGCAAAATTCTTTTTAATTCTTTAATTTTCTTGCAAAGTAAGGAGCGGGTGACTTTTTAAGGTCTTCAGCATGGCGGCTATATCTCCAACTTTCGATTATCGAGAATAAATTTAGGAATTTTTTTTTATTTTGGTTTTTAGATGCAACCACCTCTTTTGAGCGTCCTCAGTACCTTCAGCATCATTATCATGTGGCCGATCTTGCGTAAAATCAGAAATTGTTCCTTTCAAAGAAGAAGAGTTGCCATAACGCTTTTCAAGCTAATCCGGCACTACTTAATTAAAAATTGAAATTTGAATTTTTCCATGGAGTTGAAAGCAGCATCACTAGAATCATTGGAATTCGTGAACAAATGATCAAAATAGAATCAAACTTTAACAGATATCCGTTGAAGTTTTACACTTTCAAAAATGATATAATTCGTTTGTTGCTGGCAGCATTTCTATGTATCAGTCCCGGGAATTGTTGATCGAAATATTGTATGCTTAAACTGAGTCCAAAAAAATTGCGATATCGTTAGATAAATTTAGAATCTCATGTAGGAAAGGTGTAAATATATGTAGATTTGAGGTGACAGACGTAACTTTTCTTGATAGTGTAACATATGCTTTCACGATACACGCGGCGCAAGAATATTTACGTAGAAACTTATGACGATTTATATTAAAAATGAAACATTGATGCGGGAAGTTATGAGGAACTTTTTCATTGTCCGTCTATAAGTCTTCTCCGTCTTTTTGTAGGAATATGGATATTAGTATTTACATTGTTAAAGAAGGGCAATGTACTTTTATCACACGTGCCCAATCCAATGTGGCGTGGTTTCGAAGGTAATGTAGCTTTTTTTGCTTTTAACTAACTAAGTATATTTTTACCCCATACTATTTGTGGTATAAGGGTATATTAATAATGTGCGGATGCATGAAAAATCTAGAAGGACTTGAAATGGACACATCAAAAAGTAGTTCTACGATTCGTCTGTTCGTCGGTTTGTCTTATATTTCTTTGACATTTTTCGATGAAATTTTCTAGACTGATCTGTTTTGGCCAGAGGACGAACGCTACTAAAAATGGTTCCGATCAGGCCATTTCCCAAAAAAAGTGTCCGATTTTAAAAAGTCATTATACGAATAACTGTAAGGTCGAGTAGGGAAACTTGTGACGGGCTGAAGCCCATTCGTGCATTCTTTTTAATTGTTTAATGTAACATGAAACAGTCTTCGGCAAGAAACAACACATTTAATTAAAATTCGATCTAATTCGTATGATGAATGCGCAAGATTCAGGAAAATTGTTTTTCATCGATTATAGGCGAATTCTACCCAATTTCAGTGAAAAAAATTAATTGAAATTATAGCATAATAATTATAATATAATAAGTTTTACATTAAAGCTGATTAAGTTAAAGGATTACGACGAAATGTAATAAAATAACGAACTCTGTCCTCAATATTTGGCATAGAAAACAAAAAAGTATTATTTATTAGTGGGAGGTTTCTATAATTAAAAGTCTTCTCAATATTTCATTATGTTTATATACCAATTAATTAAAAATTTCATAAATATATTCAGATGCAATTTTATATTTAATTATATACATTCACCATCACTTATATTCATATATACATATATAAATGTAAATAATGAAAAGGTATCCAGCAATGTATTGTGTCCGTTGTCAACCGCAAAACTAATATTACAAATTTAAAATCAATTTACTAAACTCAATATTATTTGCATAATAGAGTTAGTTATAGTTGCTGCATTTTCTGTGCCCACGCTTACGCATATACAAACAAAATAAAATAAATATTTAATATAATTTTACATAAATAAATGTAATTCCATTAGAATAACCGCAACCTGTAAATAGTAGCTTGCGGAGGAAGTTGTTAGAACATGAAACTAACTTAAAAGCAAAAGAGTGAAGACAGTGGCAATCAACTTAATGGTCGTGGGTACACACATATGTACATATATATAATTAAGTTTTCAATATACATTGATTTGATGAGGAAGAAATTCAGGTTTCTTGTCTCTGTCTCTATCTCTTATGCTAAACGCATGCAGAGAACAACTTCTTCTCGCTAAATTCTTATTTTAAAATTTTTGCAATTGACTTTCTTCTTTGCCTTTTCGAGCACACGAGGCAAGTAATTATACCATTAAAAGTTTCGAAACGAACACTCGCCTGGATGTAAACATTGATAAGGCAACGTTTTAACTCACAATTTTTATTATTATTTTTTTGTTGTTTGATTTATAAACAAATATTTAAAATTATTAACATAAATTAATTATAGCGAGGCGTTTATGGCGCCTTACCACACTTCACGACAACGTCCACGACTGTCCGGCAAGTAGCCAGGTTGGCAGGGAAAATCAATCATAGCAACCGGTACGATCGGCACATAACTGCCGTCCTTTGCACAGTCGTTATATTCTTCAGCAACCAATTGCTCGTTAAGCTCTAAGCATTGATCCGATGAACCACGCACTTTGGTGCCATTTTGGCATTGAATATATTTCAAGCAAAACTTTAGGCAGGGTTTCGGTACTTCGGCTTGTTTCAACTTCTTTTTACATTCAAAATGTAGCTCGCAATTTTTATCGATATTCTTTGGTACATTATTAGAGATGTAATAGTTGGATGGTGCGAGTTCCTTTTCATTTTCCAAATTATTCTCTCCAGCTTGAGTAAACGAGAATGCCGCCACGCCCAATAAAATAAAAAAAATTGATTTTATCATTTTTAGATTTTTATTTGCAAATATTAAAAGGCGAGCCGTTGTTGAATTTTTGAAATCTTTAAAAGAACTGTTTTTACTTTATAACGCATCTGCAGTATCAACTTTTGACAATCGTATCACTGAGTGGGACGGTATACTAGGATCGTTGGATGGTTTCGTCGTTGTGAAAATCGAAAAAAAATTGTTCCTTAAAGATGGTTCTGTGTTTGTTCGCTTTCAGCTTTTAGCTCCACTTTTTGTTCCTTTATCACGCCTTCTTCCAGCGAAACGGATTTTTCTTGCAAAAAAAACACTCCGTTGTAAACATATTTTGGCCGTTATGTGAATAGTGTTTTTCAATAATTGGTTTCAAGTTAAGTAAATCTTTTACTTTTTAGATCCATTACCGATTTGTAAAAGTCTGCAAATTTTTCTTCGACCTTGCAACATTTATTTCGAACAAAGAAGTAGGATGAGCGCTAACGACTAAGACTACCTATATATCAAAAAGTTTTTTCCTTTTTAAACTCACTACGAGCTCAAGAAAGTATACAAAATTTCTTCTTTGACTTTGTAACATTTATTATTATTATTTGTTTCGAACAAAAATGTAGTATGAGCAAGAGCGATTACGACTATCGGCTCAACGTGTAGAAAAGGTCATCGTAAGCAGTGTACGTCCATCCATCATTTGTCTCCTGCTGGGAATCTATATTGCTATCTGCCTTGCAGTAATGTGGCACAAAGCAAAAAATGTAAATTTATTTCTATTTGGATCTGCCCGAAACCTAAGATACATGGAGACCAACTTAGATGAAGACTTTGAGATAAGCTTGCCGACCTTTATTAGCTCAGCGACCAATAATGAAAAAGTGTCGTTACTTTCTAACGTTGCAGGTCTCTAAAATTCTGCAAAATTCAAACCCAGATACACATGAAGGCATTGTTTGTTAGCACAAGTCAATTTATTTCTGTCTGTCTGCTCGTTGGAAATGGTTTTTAGTTTGCAATTATGAAAAATTTTGGTTACGAGCATTGTTCACCTAGTGTAAAAGTCGGAACCAATACGAAGAATAACGAAAAAAAACATCTGTGTATATTTCCACGAACAACTTGCAGTCAGGACAAATTTTTTAGTTAATGAAAAGTGTCCAGCGTCTTATTTTTATCGAACATTTTATTAAGGAAACGAACTATTATCTTATTTTGTCCCACCGTCTGTTTTCCATAACCCTTCAACATACAATAGACATCGAAATAAAATTTGGCACGACTATGGACTAGCAGCGATGTCGACAATAAACGCAAACATGCTTTGAAAATGGTGGGTATTCGAGTTTCGCCTAAAGGTGAGTATATTACGTTTGCTTTAATTTACGTTTCCTAGTTTGTGTACATATATATAGCGCATATTTTGTCTGAACGAATACGTCACATGACAGCGTATATAACGATAACCTTTGACAATAGCATTTGTATACGCGTCATACGAAAGCAGAAGCTGATTAAGTTTGCTGCTCCATTGGTAGCATTAAAATATAATACGATTAGAAAGGGTACGGCATCTAAAAATTTAAACAGCGAAGATCTATCCAAATGAGTTGTTGGTTTTTTTTTTTCTTTGCTTAGGCTGACCAAGCCCTGTCTGCGTACAGTTTCATGGCAAAGTTTCTAATGAGTAGTGAGATGCGCTAGTCAGCTTTCCCATATAGATGGTTAACTTTTGATACGGTTTCAGTGTGGCACAGGTATTCAAGCCCCGGAAAAAGCGAAAAGTCCCTCACAACCCAAGCTAAATCAGGGTTAAATTTGGGAGAGTTAATACAGTGTGAAAAGAAGCTAAGGATTATAGTTCTAGTGAATAACCTCACAATGCATAACGTCTCTGTTACCTTAACAGAAGAAAACCTAGTTTCAGTGCCTAATAATATTAGTCGATCGTAATATTTCTATATTGAGCGATCGATATTACATTCGATTATCGCGACGCTTGTGAGTTGAGTTAAATGTACAAAAAGTCTGCCTTCCCGGTTAGTCGTAAATATTTCTGTTGAATATAATTAGAAAGTATCTAACCTGAAGCATATATAGATAGATTCCTTTCTACTTCTCTCTATCAAGGGTTGAAACAAATTTGTTCCTGGTCTTGCTATTAATTACATAACGAATGGTTGCGAAAATCTATCAAATGTTTGCGAGAAGACTGCTTGTACTGTCTTCATAGATGTTTTATTTAGGCTGTCATCGGTTTATCGTCATAATACATAATTATGCATTTGCGATAAGCTTGGGAGCAGAACGAGAGGATTTGCCGTAGTTTGATGTTAGCAGTCGAGATTCTTATCTCCAAACGGTATTTGCAAGTTTCACATTCAAAGGTTTTAATTTTTTGTGTGCAGCCAGTGAAATTTGTCTTTAAATTTTCACCTACTGGAGTGGCGTGTTCATGCCTAATATTGTTAAAGAATGCTTGTACGAATGTGCAAAATAGAAAACAATAGATGCCAACCGTTTATCAAAAAAAAAAAAAAGAATAAATAAAAAATTTGCCGAATAATCAAAAACAGGCAGAAACTGTTACACAACTTTTGAACCGGAAGCGTTTCAGATTGTGCTGTAAATACATGTTGCATTCTTGCAGCTCGATGCGCAACTCAACATTTCATGTTATTAGGAAATTTGTTGTTGTTTTCTTTTGTTCCATGTCAGATTATATTTTGTATGCATATTTTAATCCAATGAGTTTTTTTTTTCCAAATTTTTACCTTTCTTTTTTTGTTGTTGTTTCATTCACACAAAATTTAAGCTAAATACTTGCACCGCAAAAACAATTACTTATATGTGCGTTATTGCTGTTGCCTTACAAGCGACTATTAGCTATTGTTTATGTGTGATGTTACACGTTAACAACAGCAAAAAAAAAAATTAAAAAAAAAAATAAATAAATGAAAGAAAAACATTGAAAATTGTCACGAAATTGTTGGGTTAAATGGGGTTATGACATGTCGTGTACGGTAAACTATAACAGAACAGAACACGTACTATGAGGCATTTGTTCTGATGTATAAATTAAGTGTAAAATATTATGCACAACCGAAGGTACAAGTTCTCATAACATACTATTACTGTCCGACAATTAAAAGGTGCAAGCATATGAGAAAATGATAAACTTTAGTTAAAATGACGGTTAAAAGAAGATAATTTAACTGTTCAATTTTGTAATTTTTCTTTTCTATATTATTTACGCTCGCCCTGTTAAATGGCAAGTTTTTAGATTAATGGAATAAAATCTGAAACACGTTCTATGAGCCGCGCATTATATTAAAACCGAGGAAAACCCCTTAAAGTAGTTTTGATAAAATTGATGTAAAATTCTGAAAAAAATTTCCAGTGTTTTACAAGGTCACTTTAAGCAGAGCTTTGTTTAAGGGACAGCATATAAATGCTTCGAATCAGCAGCGTTCCAGTTCAACAATTCTTGATAAAATCGATAAATTCCTTGAAAGGATTGTGGAAGACTAGCAAATTTCATCTTATAACACCATTGCGTAATTGGATATTGATCAGAAATCGCTTTTGAATCGCTTGCGTAAGGTAAGATGCAAAACGACGCTCATTACTTGGCTACCATGTAAATTTAATGCATCGAGTTTTCATCCGCGAATCGCTCCTGAAACGGGAAAATGTAGAGTGAGTTTTAAAGAGTTTGATAACGAGCAATGAAAGCAGTGGTGCGTCAACAATGAGCGAAGAAACTCATCAACAAGATCAGTGACTTACACGTGGTGTGATTGGAGGAGAAGTGCGGAATATCCACAAACTGGCCAGATAAGTTAGTTTACTCTTTATTGTCAACAACGATGAAACTATGCAATTGATGCAGAGCGACCGAGATTGGACAATGGAAAAGCTGTCCTCTACCAAACCACAACAATCTTTAATAACTCAGCAAAACACTAAGAAAATTTGGCTAGAAAGTTTCGATCAATTCAAGGTATAATACGGTCCTCAATGCTTCGAACTTGAAATTGTTTCGCTATTCGCTTTCTTAGTGGTGTTCTCAAAAGGTAACTGTAAAAAGTGCAAAATGTATATTTTTGAATTTTGATGAAAAAACGCCGCGAACTTATTCCTTTTACTCAATGCATAAACGAGAATGCGAAAGTTTAGTCCATTGAATAGTTATTGCGGAGAAGATTTTGCTACATAGAAAACTTTAACAAACAAAAGTGGATGTGTGTGGACGTCTGCTATTCACATAATACTGTGAGTGAAGATAAAGAGGAGAAAAAAGAGAAGGAAAATGAGAAGGTAGCGGCCGCAGCTTAGTGTCTATGTGCGTCAAATCGGTAAATGTGATGCTAAGCACTCATTCATAGTTGCGACCAAAACTCTTTTGCACTTGAGATTTGAACTCGCGAACACTGATTCGGTAGTTGCGATTCTCACCTATTCGGCTACTTAGGCGGATACGTTAGAGAAAAGCTCAAACTGTTTTCATCACCTTGCATTTAAATTTGTTTCTCTAAAACTCCTTCTATAACCCATGTTCGAAATATGAATATACACGTCTTGGCAATAGGTAGCAACTTACAAGTAATGGCAGTACTAACGCATTATTTGCAATGTGCACCCTGTTCCATACACGCTAATATACATTTCTAGTTCAAGTTCAATTTTTAAAATTAAAATATTAGAAAATAAATAATAAGGGAATTGCATCACCATTTTACGCAATATAAAGATATTTATAAGACAGTTTGAGACTATACTTGAATTACATTTCTCTAGAAAAAAAATGTTGACAAGCAAACTAGAGTTAGTCAAAAGAGAAAATCTTTCATATGGCTTAGGTTATTTCATCCTATTCGAAGTGTAATGGTTGTAGAAATTCTTGCTCGTAAATTACTCTCCTCTGAATTAACCTAACCTAAGGTCAGCGGATGTTTCCAAATACAAAACGATGTCATTCTTTAGATCACCTTCCGTTGATCACATAACACCTATAAAATTAATGGTAATAACATAGGGGTTATGGTACCGTACATTGACCTTGGAATTTCACTCTTTCGAAAAATGAACATTAATCGC